GGTTCCTCCTACTCGGACCTATTTCTAACCTAAGGTGTCCATAGGGTTCATGTGGGCTGTTTTGGGTATTTCTAAGATTTTTCCATTATGATTGGTGCTATGGAAATGGGTAGGATCAATTTTAGTGTGAATTGGTAGTTAGAAAGTGCTAGTTTGTGATTTCTTGAATGTTTAGATAATTGGTTATATAAAAATCATATATTCTGATTTTTATTTTGTTTGAAATGGTCCATATAAAATCTTGGCTTGATTTTGGTATATGGAAGTATTTATGTAATCCCTTGAAAATTGGGATCATGTGGGCATGCTTTGTGTTTTATATTATTCCTTGTGAATGAAATGTGATATTAGCATGTATTATGTGTTAACATGTTGATGAAGTGTTGATATATGCTCTTGGATATATTGAACTTGAAATGATTATGGTGATTATATGCAAATGATATTAATTGCCATGGTATACATTGATATGTAAAAATTGTCATTTGACATGCATTGCAATATGGATATGGAGTTAACATCACAGTCATAGGCTACATGCATGAGTGTGGGTGTAGGGTTGCATGGGGTAATCAACACCAACATTTGTGCTTGATGGTGGACTCGGAAAAGTGGGATGGAACGTCCTATGGAGTCGCACGGTTACATGCATAAGAAAACTTGTGTCGGGTATAACAAGTAGGGCTAGACACTCCTTCGGATGAAAAACCCAGCTACTTGGTTCATACACTTACCGGCGGTGAAATTCCAGAAAAGTATAACGGCGTACGAAGCCAGAGGTGCGATTCTTGAATCCGATACCCCATAAAGGCACATTATTTTGATATATAAATTATTTATTTGATGGAAAATATTCAAGAATGAATTGGTTTTATGACATATGATTGATTTAAAAATGATCTTTAGATGTATTTCATCAAAGACGTTTGTTTTACACATATGAGTCGCATTGCGTTGTGGGAGTTGGTGTGGGCTCGGGATAGCATGCATCANTTCTCGGAGTTCCGTCACTCGGATCAACTCGGACCAAGAGCCAAAGTTCATCTCCGTGACGAGGGCTACGTGTGGGTACCAAAAATAAAGATTTTCACCGAAGATCTAAAGAGAGAATTTTGGAGAAATCTAAGCTTTGGGCTTGAATCTTGTTCTTAAGGCTTCCTACAAATTTTTTACGCTTCAAGAGGTAGGGTTTCTCCTACTCGAACCTATTTCTAACCTAAGGTGTCCATAGGGTTCATGTGGGCTGTTTTGGGTATTTNGGGGAGTAGCCTCTGTAGGAGTTTTTCTACTGAGCGTTGGCCCACCCTATATGGGAAACATTTCAGGTGGGAGAGGTACACTGGTGGATTGCTCAAATTTGGACTCACATATTTGAAGAAAGCCGAATGTGGCTTTATTTTGTGTTGATGTAAAATATTTGTGGAAAGAATGTTTTAAGTATGTCATCTTTTAAATTGTAATAGAACTTATATGGACTATTTGTTAAACTAATCTTGCATGTTTTGATATAAATATGGATTATTGGACCCGGTGTGGCCAATGTTTAATTATAATTGGACCCGTTGTGTTCAAGTGTTACTTATAAATGAACTCTGTGTGGTCATTGCATTATATGGGGCCTTGGACGGGTCATGTTAATGTATATTGCACAGGTTGTGTTTTGGGTAGAGCTTCCCGTACAAAGGAGACTCTGCCCGAATTTTGTTAAATTAAGGACCTCGGTAAATGGGGCATAACGGTGTGATATCGAGCTACTCGATATCCACGGGTATTCCGCGGGTTGATGGGTCAACAACGGACCCCTGGATTTTGGGGCGTCACATGTTTAACATGAGCTCTATGAATTTTACAAATTAGCAATTAGAATTAAATATAAGTACTCTCAATAATTCAAGTGCAATCATGTTTTACCATTTATTTATACCTCACCCTTTAATGATTGGGCACATTGTGTTCTTTTCTCACATTGGCCTTTGACAACTTTTAAGAGATTGGGGTTTAACTAACCTTTAGTAATGTGTTAACTTATCACCAATACTTAAAGTCACTTTAGGTCATTAATCATTTAAACTAGCAAGATTCGTAAGTATGAAGGTGAATGGTTGGCGTGTACTTAGTTTATGAATTTTTCAAAGGTAAACACTACCCAACCATGCTAGGCTGAAAGAGACTTTGGCTCATGAATGTTGTAGTAAGATTTATGCCATTAAGTTATCAATCCCCTAATATGACTCATAGCATATCACATTTCAACTTTGATTTAAGGATGGAATCATTCTAAAGCAAACCAAAAGTTTGAAGTACTTGATCATTAACAAAGAAAAATAATCAAAAGAAAATATTTTTTCCTTTCTCTTTTTCTTTTTCTTTTCCAATGTTTTTATATTTTTCAATTAAATATATAAAAATAAAAAATATGCATAAGCATGCCATAAACAAAGGAAAGAACAAATAAAGCAATTGAACGTAAATTCTAAAAAGAATGTCAAACTCGACAACAAAACTCTTTTTGAGTTTTTTAATTTCTTTTGTATTTCTTTTATTTATTTATTTATTTATTTATTTTTGGGATTTTATTTAAGAATAAAAATCCAAAATAAGCAAAGTATGACCCTAGGGTATTTGATTCAATACATGAATGATCACCTAGCTCCATACTTTCTCACCTNAAAATCCAAAATAAGCAAAGTATGACCCTAGGGTATTTGATTCAATACATGAATGATCACCTAGGTCCATACTTTCTCACATCACCTATTTCTTAGGTTCCATGACCTTGTTGGAAGCACTCGAGGCAACTAACTTGGTTGAGATAGTGAATGTCTTCAACTCCTTCCTAGTCACCCATATTTGCTTTCCCTTCCAAGAACTCGGGTTTGGTCGGGGAATTGGTGGAAGACTAGCTCTCTTCTCCCTGGAAATGTGTAGATCAATCTTGACCTTGGGGTAGAAGGAGTTTTGCGCACTCTAGCACGTGAGCCTTTAGAAGGTGATGCATAAGTATGCTTGGACTCACTTGACCTCTCCAAAAGCTTAGAGAAATTTAAGACTTGATTATTTAAAGCTTTGTGTTAGTTAGCAAGGTCTGTAAGCTTCTTAGTCATGACTTTGCTTTCACGTATGCAATGTGCACTATAATGACCATGTTCAGCACAAGTAAAACACGCAAATGATTTGATTTGGATTTTCTTTTTAATTGGCTTCTTTAAGTACTTACCCTTACCATTCTTAGTCTTTTGAGGGCTTGCAATTACTTGTAGGGGTGATGGGTTGGGATTACTCTTCAAAAGCACTGTCTTACAAAGTAGTGGGGTGGTTTTCTTATTTGTATAGTCTAAGCCTCTTTTGTGACCCACACTCTTCCCTATAAACAACATTTTATCAAATTTTTATGTGCTTAAGGAGAGTCTCTTTGAGAGTTCTTGCGATTTATGAAGGTCTCTATCAACACTTAAATTGATTAGCTAGATGCAAGAGCTTCTTATTCAACATTTCCTATAACGCCCCAAAACCCACCTTAGACGGCATTACAATCTATAAACCATTCACATCATGAGAGCAACTAAATAATTTTATCATTAAAGAAATTTCATTCACCAAATATAACATTTACAATATTATCCCAAAAGAATAGGAAAAGCATGGTCATTACATCCCAAAAGAATGTGATCGACTATAATAATTACATCCCAAAAGAATCACATTTAAACTTACAGCGGAATAACAAAAGATTAGTCTTTTACTTAATCTCAAAAGCAATTTTCTAGTCTAGCATCTAGGAGAGTATAATTCTAGACATCCACCTCAGGATCCATGAGCCCGTCTAGCGGAGCTTCCCAATGTGTCGGCTCCTCAACCCCGAACTCTTCCTCTAGACCATAATTTGAAAAATATAGTTTGTAGGGGGTGAGCACTAAGCTCTGTAGCAACATTTCTTCCAAACTCAAACAAGATTTTGAAAATATGTAAAACAGTTTGGTCTCACTTTTAAAAATAGCATATATAACTTGAAATAAAATAGTGACAATTTATTTGTTCTCAAGTGTACGTAATCGCAATAATTTAAATGAACAGTAATACCAAGTTACAATTAACAACCATTTCCAACCATAACCATTTCCAACAAGTTCTTTTAGAGTCTCATACCTCCACAAGCTCTTGTCGGAAACCGTTTCCAAACAATAACAATAATCTCATGTTCTCATGTATGTTGGTTGTTTCTCATGAATTTACACAATGAATCTACCTCGTTCACCCAACCATAACCACACAAACCACTTTAGGAATGGCGTATACTGTCTCCCATGGCATTGACGAATCCTTCACAGGAAAGGTATACCCACCCTAAGCCTCGAACTTACGTGAACAATAGCTGTTCTTCCCACAATCAACAAACCACTACAAGTGTTAGGAAACCATCTCACCCCCACTGAGATAGACTAACCTCTAACACTCTATGGCAGTGCTCGAATGTAATTCAAGTCCATCACAACAACCATACAAGAGATGTCATACCAAACATTTGCTTTAAAACACAAGGAAATCCAAAATCCCCAATTCTCACAATTTATAATACAAGAGAACAATTTAAGAAAGTAAGCAAGAGATCATCATAACATCATTTTATTACTCAACACAAAGCACTAAGTTTTCAAAGTCAAGAACAAAGGAAGAATCAAGAGAAAAATCCATTTATCTTGAAAAACTAGGTTTTATGACAAGCAAGAAATCTCATGGTTATATAACCATAGCTTTGTTTAATACATGGTAATAATTACAAAAATTTCAAGAAATCATGATTTCATAGCATATACATATGATTAAGAGTGAAAACATACATATATATATATATATACATGCCCTAGCCTCAATGGACAAAAATGGAAGGAACCCCTACCTTTTTCCTTGGCTTTGGTGTGAAGAACAAGAATATTTGATCTTGAATCACGCTTAAAACTCTTGTTTTCCCTTTCTCTCTTCCTCTCTAAGTCTTTCTATTAGGGTTCTAAGAGGTTTGGGGTCAGAGTGAGGTGAAAGAATGGGAGCAAATAGAGTGAAAATGGGGTTTGAAAACATAAAAATCCTAATTTTTTAACAATCTACCAGNAAAACATAAAAATGCTAATTTTTTAACAATCTACCGGTAGTTCGTATCGAGCTACCGGTAGTTCGGATCCACTAGCAACTTACTACCTATTTAGCTACCGGTAGTTCGGATCCACTGGCAACTTACTACCTATTGAGCTACCGGTAGTTCGGATCTACTAGAAATTTACTACCTGTTGACTACCGATAGTTCGGATCCACTGGATAGCGTACTACCGGTAGATCCTGTCAAGATTTGCCTATTTCCTCTATTTTTCATTTCAAACCCATTCCAAACCCTTCCAAAACCAACTCAAACTCATACAACATACATTTGTACATCAAACACAATTGGTATAAGTTTTATTGCAAACGGTTTCATATATTTACAANCATACATTTGTACATCAAACACAATTGGTATAAGTTTTATTGGAAACGGTTTCATATATTTACAATTAAAAACAAAGTTTGAACTAAATATTTACCCGATTCTACACTATTAACATTTTTATCTTTACTCTTACCATTTACTTAGTTCATGAATACTCCATTATGTATATTAGCATTTTAAAAAAACATAATTATGTTGTTATATTTGAACGAATGTGGGAGTTTACACTTCCCCTATTATGCATACAATGCCAGCTATAGTAATCGTGCTCTCAACAAGTAAAACACACTAATTGTTTGGCATACGATTCTTCCACAACCAGCTTCTTTAAGTTCGTACCTTTTCCATTTTTTTCCCTATGTGGACTTGTGTTAACTTGTCGGAGGTGATGGGGTAGGATTACCATTCCCAAACATGGTCTTAGAAGAAATTGTGGTGTTTACATTGGTGTAACCTAAATTCCATTTGTAACCAAAATCTTTCCCTAAAGACCACATTCTATGAATCTTATCAAATCCTAGGGAAAGTCACTTTGAGAGTTATTGTGATTCTTGTCAATTTAAACTCTAGACTCTTCTTTATCTCAATAAGCCTGTAAAACCCAAGTAAATTTAAATTTTTATGAAAAATGGAAAAACGGTAATTTGTCGCTACAGTACGGGTCAAAAATCTAAATTTTTCTAGAACTCGGATGACGAAACGGACCTCACCGTTAGGTTTATCTCACGAAATATTGCTACCATGTCAATTTTTTTTGAATTTCGAGACAATCATATTTTTGTGTTTTACGAGATGACAAGGTGTCGGTGACCTCATAAACGAAACCAAAAAATTAAATTTTGAAAAGTGGGTAATAATTTAAGGCTAGTTCATATGAAAATATTTTAAACTTGAACCAGGATGAAATTTAATCCATTCGGGTCAAATACGGACCCAAAAAATGAGAACGTGTGACAAAATATGGACCAAGCATTTAAAGGGTATAAATAGGGGAGAAAAATCAAATTTCTCCCCATTTACCTTCAAATTTTTGAAAAAGAAAAGAAGAGGGGGAAAGTTCAAGTTCTCTGCACCTTCTCTCTACAATCTACGACAGTACGTCGCTCAAATTGACTCAACCCACGAACAAAAGTTGTTCTCCTTCTCGAGGGCTACGCAACCATACCAAAAATCACGGATTTGTGTGAAGTTCCAAAAATGAGCTTGGAGAAAGCAAGGGTTTTGGGCTAGAATCGGGTTCTTGGAGCTTCCTACGGTTGTTTTACGCTTCAAGAGGTATGGTTTTCTCCCTAATTAGGTTTATTTCTAACCTATGGTGATTATATGGAATTGGTAAGTTGTTGGAGATGTATAACACTTACCTATTGTTGTTATTTTGATGAAATGGGTATTGAAATTGGGTGAAATCAATTCTAGCTTGAATTGGTATATAGAAATTGATAACTTATAATTTCTTGGAAGATTGTGTTATATGGGCATGCTATGTATTTATATTATGCCTTTGAGAATTAAGTGTGTTAATTGCATGAGATTAGGTGATAACATGTTTAAAAATTATTATTGAATAAAATGTTGATATATGCTTGATGATGTATTGACATTGTGATGAGTATAGTGATTATATGCTTGTGATATAATTGGCCATGGTATGTGTTCAAATGTGGTGGAAATGGTTCATGTGGTGCTCATAACATATTGAACATGATTATAGTATTGCAATTGTACATTACATTGCATTTGCAAAGAGACATCACATTCATGGGCATTAGGCATGAGTGTGGGTGTGTGTGCATGGTTGTCATCAAACACCATACTTGGTCGATAATGGATGGGCTCAAAAAAATTGGATCAAATATTCAACTAAGTCACACGGTTTGCATTGAAAATTGGATCGAGGTTAGCAAAAAGGGCTAAACTTTCCCTCATGTGCAAGACTCAGTTACTTAGGATACGCCTCCCTTGGTTTAGTCCATATAGTGTGTCGGTGTACGCTGAACTGTTGGTGGAAGTATGCAAATTCCATGTCGTTTAGGTGGTTGTTGGTGTAAGTCCATAAATACCCACTCCGAGAAGGACTCGGGAATTTAATGTTCATTGGATGTGTAACATCAATGGCAAGGGCTTGAAATTTTCGGAATTGTACGCATGGCATATGCATGTGTTGAGGGAGCCGGTGAAGGCTCGAGTTGATGTGCATGAGTGAGTCTTATCTCATTTCATGGCATGGCATGGTGATTCATATCTTTGAATTGTATATTCTTGATTGGATTTTTTGTTGCTTGTTGTATTGTGCATGTGGACATTTCATAAGCATCTAGGTTAGGGGTAACCTTTTTAGGAGATACCCTATTGAGCGTGGCTCATCATTTATGGGAAAATATTTCAGGTATGGGGTATACACCGGTGGAAGACTCTCATTCGGGGCTCCAAGGATGAAGAAAAGATGACTTGTGGATTTTAAACCTTATTTTGTAAAACTTTTGTGAAATTCGGTTTTGGACATGTAAATATATGAAAATGATTGTAATGGAATTTGTACGAACTATGTTTCAT